TTTTCTATAACAACATATATCATTAAAAAGTAAAAAATTAAAATGACACCAAAATAAAAAGTTTATGTTATTTTCAATATTTATTTTATCCCTTTTCTTATTATTATATAATAAATTATATAAATTAATAAAAATATAGAAACGGTATAAAAATAATATTTTGAGAACAATAAAATAAACTTTTAAAAAACATAAAATACAATAAATAAAATTTAAAGAATGAATAAAATGTAAAATTGAGACCTATTTAATATTTTAAAAGAGAAATAAGTTTTATTTTAAAGTTATATTGGTAAAATATAAGTTTGTTCCACTAGTTCCATGGGGTAAGGATGGAACAGGTCTGTTCCACTCTGGTTTTGTCTGTTCCAAGTCTTGCCAAATGTGGATAGAGATCTCTGTTCTATTTTATATTGTCCTGTCCTATCCAATATACCAAACACACCCTCACAGATCTTAAATTATTTGCAAGGTTTGCTTTTGGACAAAAAAAAAAAAACAAATGTTTTGAAACTTGATTATTCAAATAGAAATTAACTCAAAGTTGGTTTCATTCCGATACAATTTGAGTTTAACATATTGCCCATTTCAAATACGTATCAATATACAGATGATAAAAGTTATAAGAGAACGAGAAACTTACAAAAAGAATATTCAGTCTCATCTCAAAATCACACCGAAAAAGGAACAAATAAAAATAGACTGCTGCAAATTTCATTTTGCAGATCTGGGAGGTGGTTTCTATGATAAACAAACTGACTACATTTTTTATTAGTTCACCGGGGGGGAAAACGGTTAAACCAACTTGTCTGTCAACTCGGTATATATTCGATCTTTCATGGCATCCCTGTTGCTTGTCGTTAGAGTAAACACAGTCGCCCCCGGATGATTTTTCAACCTCACCACTGCACAAAAACACTTCCCCTGGATGATTTCTTCCTCATTTGAAACATTTCTTTTAAATTGTGAGTCAAGTCACAGGAGTGTGTAAGTTGGTGATATGAATTCTGTTGGTGATTTTAGTGTCACCAGATTCATTTGGTGTAAGGGGTAAATATACGAGAGCTAAAGGGGTCTTTACTTAGTTTTTTTATGCAAGTTAGGAGGTGTAGAGCGTACACTTGTATAAGACTAGATTGATCCTGGTACAACCAAAAGGCGGGGGTCAAGGGGGCAGCGCCCCTGGCGGGGTCCAAGGGGTTTATGGAAGAAGTGTTGTGAAAAACATCTTTCTGATGTGTGTTCACTATATTTTCGTATGAAAGCAGCTTGTTGGAACTGACTCGTTTTGGTTCTTGACAGATGGTTAGTTCCTAACAGAGGTTTTGGATCTATAACTGCTGTTAACCTTCTCATAACCTTCTATAACAATCTTTGGTCTTATCTAATTTTCTTCTTATAACCTTCGTTTTTTGGCTCGAATCTAAGGTTCGGAATATTCAAAACCTACATTAACGTAATCTAATTTGTGCCTAAGAAATTAGATTGTTCCTTCTTGAATTATCCAAAACTCAGAATTTCGTGCAACCCAAGGCTATAGAGTAGAAATATCTGATTCGGAACGTGATATACACGATCCAAGCAAGAATCCACGCAATTGTGATTTCAGAAAACCACCATATTGTTCATCTACCCCAACAAATTCAGACTATTTTCTGTACCAGAGAACATAATATGGAAAAACAAAAAACAACTGCAGCATCGAGTATATGCAAATATACCTGCAGGAATATCTAGACCAGCTTTTGGAATCGGGATGGTAGCTAGAAAGGGTTTGTTAGACTCCAAAACTCGCAAGACTGTAGGGAAGAACAAAGAACTAAACAGCTCCATCTTACCAACTTCATCAATCACAAAGAGATCTGTGTCTTCTTTGATCTGGAAATGAAACGAAGATCAACTTCCTAGTGCATTAATAGATATACCGAAAAATGAAATATATTTTCATGTCAAAGTGTCAAACACAATACTTCCCATATTAAAAATCGATTTGGATTGTGTTACAGATGCAATACCAACATTTTCCATCTATAGCAGTTGCTAATGAGTTTGTGGTATTTATAAGTTCTCACTTAGACATTTGGCAAATCAGTTTTTGAGGTGGAATTCATCCATTTGACCATATAAGTTAAAGGGGTCTCCTTTTATAAAGTACAGAGAATTTATTCAATTATATCTTCCCTTGTCCTTTCTGTTTCATAATAAGATTGCGCATCTATGTTCCAACATCAACAGAATTGCAGTATGTCCCAGTATATATACAAATAAGATTGACCAGCTGGACCAACCTGTAACTCAGGCAAAGCCAAAGACTCAAATGATCCTACGTCGACTTTGTATCTCCCCACAGTAGGCCATCTAATGGACTCTGCACTGCCATGGTCAAACCAAGTCACCACGGTGAACAAGAAAACATAAATATCAAAGCGGAAAGTGTAGGATATGGTGCCTAATTTAAATTGAAAACCGGTGAACTACTATCTGCTCAGAAGGTGGGGTACAGGAGTTGTAAGAAGCATATGTTGGTTAAGGCAGTTAAACAGTTAAGAACGACAAATATATTTCTGTCTTATCGACTCATTGTGGCTTATATCCCAAATTTTACTTCTCCCATTATGCCTCGAGTTTTTGTCCCAAACCTTCACAAGATCGTATTCATTTTACAGGGGAAATGATTAGACCCATGGTTTTCCTTCTTACTATTTTAGCATATTATCCATAATAAATTTGGAAGCCTAACTATGTGATTTATCTTTCTTTTGTTCCACCACATTAACAACTTGTGTTTTTTGTATTTTATCAATTATCATAATTCATAAACATAAAAGAGGGTTTATGGGTACCCAACATTAATAGCTAATATCCTACAACTTTTAATTCTCCAACAATCATAAATCATTCGCTATGACTAAAAGAGGTAGCTTGTACCCTTTTTCATTTAGACAATTATACCTTAATATCTAAACATCAACAATGTTGTTTCAGAAAGAAAGAAATGCTCCTTCTGTCCCATGACAAAAGCAGCATTTCCTTTTCGGCAATTTTATAAGATCTGGCTGACCGTACATAATCTTTTGATTTGTACATAGGACCTCCAGTGTATTTGGAACAATTCCAAACCTCTGGAGCAAGTCAGCAGCAGACTTTTTATGACGATTTTTCAAGCTAAAAATAACTTATCTATCCATTTCACACCACAAACCATTGATGCCACTTATATTGATCCAGAAAACTTTACGATATTCATGGGACAAATGGAGTAATGCACATAATGTGGATAGCAAAAATGTAAGCCATCGTTGTATGATCAAAAGGTATAAAAAAATACTTACCTAGAACTGTGAATAGAAGCAAGTGGAGCAGTACGACCATCTAACGTAACCACCTCAAACCCTACCCTCTCGCCTCCTTGTCTGATCTCGCCTGCGTATTCCAAATTTCCTCTCAGATTATCATTGTTTGATCAGTAAAAAAAAAAGGCGAACACCTAATCGTATGATTAAATTGGTACAATGATAGAGCGTTACGGGTAAAGAAACCCTGAATCTTTAAATTGGGGTTGGAAATTCTGAGTGTCTCCAAAACCCTAGCAATTAGAGTGGTTTTACCGACGCCCTGAGGAGTGAAAACCAGATTCAACTTCAGCTATGATTCGATTCAAAGGAACGTTGGATTCAAAATGAATCTATGGAAACTTACAGGGGAGCCGGACACCAAAAAGCATTCTGCTGGGGCTGCCATCGCTAAACTGTCGATCTCTCCGACCCTGTAATAACGGTTACAGTCGTATGAAAGAGTATATTAAATTATATATGTATTTTGATATTTATCCATGTTTTTTTTTATTAACCTTCATATCTAACCCGTTACGTGAGTCGACTAATCTTAGGACAGTCATCTGCTTTGCAAATGCCCCGGAGTCACCGTATTTGAACCTCCATGGCTACAAGGGGATTTTTATTCCCCCTTGGATTTAAACCCGAGACCTTCTAGTATTTTTGACCTTTAGAGTCAAGCTCAAACCAATCAGATATCACACCTTGTGGTTATCTCTTAGTACATTTTATGTGTATATGTATGGAAATATGTTTTTTGTAATGTTCCAGTAAATACATAGTTGTTTTACAAAGTTGTTTTCAGCAACATGATTATGTATTTAGATGTTGATTTTCCAAGTTTACTGGCATGAAAGATGAATCAATATTTCAGATATTTATTATTTTACCTGATATGTTTTTAGATTATTTTAGCAGAAAAATTAGAAACTCGTTGATCTTAATACCTGTCTAATACTGTGCATCTCAAGAAAAGACATCGTCGTTAGTAGTAAGGGAAAGGTTGAGGTCTAGTCAACCATTAGGCATAGTATTATTGATGCAATGTTCCAGTTTTTCAATCTGTTGGGGACTAATATCAGACTTAGTCGACGTTAAATATACTGACTATATCTTAATATTAGTTTTCAGTGTATAAAAACTTCCACGGCATATGTTTGGTATTTTCAATTAATGAATGCTTACAAATAAGTCATATGAGCACATCGTCACACATTTGAACGAGTTACCAAGTAGGTGGTGTGGAACTATAATCCCCTACGCTGGTTAAATAGATACATACATAAGATTCATTAACCAAAATAACGTCATTTGGGAAAGAACATACTTTTCGTCTTTCAAATAATCAAATATAGTAATACTTCATACACCGACCACGATTGGAGGTGTCACAAAAGTTCAACGACCGAGAGACAGCGTGATATCCACCATATCTCTATAATATTAGCATGAATAACAAATGTTTATAATTAGAAAAAAATCATAAATAACAATAAAATAAAATGTAAAACCCGTAAAAAGAGATATCATATCAAATCTGACAACAGGTATCAACTTCAATCATATATCATAAGCTACACATACAAAGTTTGATTTTGCCGAATGTTATGCAGGAGTCGTACACCAAATGCTTATCGGGTAAGTGCTTATTAGTAAGAGTTACCATCCGTGCTTATCTTATCGAACAACATTCTGGACCATCAAAAATATATTACTGGTGAGTTGTGGTAAAATAAAGTTCTTCCTTATTTACCGAGTAAGTGTTTAATAAACGACCCCGAATGTTACATGGTGTATCGATATTTATGAAATTATAGCAACCGGTGTTAATTCCTTCATGTTTTGTAGAGGATAAATAAAAGAAATGGGAGAGGAAAGACAGATGTTCCGCTGTAGCACAACTCAATGAAAAGATTTCAATCTTTCGACTCCACCTAAAAATGGAGTCCCAGGTTCAAGTCCTGGCAGCGGTACATATTTTTTTCAACAAAATTTAATTTTGAGTAAAGTTCCATTTTCGTCCCTAATCTTTGTCTACTTTAACGAATCTCGTCCCTATACTTCATTTTTGTTGCATAAATACTGTTTTGATAGATTAAAATCTTACCCGATAAGTAAAATGATAGTGTTGAATTTTACTGGTAAGCAGTTATATATATAAATGTTTGATAAACGCCTTTAAATCATCTTAAATTAAGTGTCATTGTTTCTTTTCGTTAAGAAAATACAAAAAAACAAAATTATTTTTTAAATAATATGTACATTACGTGAAATTACAATTTAATTTAATCGTTGATCATAGATAGTAATTTTATGTAGATTAATTATTGTTTGATTGTTGTTTTGTATCATACTTTGATGATCAAACAATGATAATAACAGCTACGTAAAAATAAGATCGTATCAAAGAGTATATTAATATGTAATTTTGAAAAGGACCTTTAATTTGAGTTTGTTATTTTGATTTCAGGTTTGCTACTAGTTTGTCTTTTATTTTTGATTTCTTGGTCTTTTACTATCTGATTTCTTTTTAACTGAATCTAAGTTATGGACCTCTTACCCTCTAATTTCATGCTACTAACTATTAATGTGTAGTGTATTCATTTGCTTTGATTTAACCGAAAAGTAAAATATGCACATGGCAATATGATGTCTCGGTTTATCCGAAATAGTCAAAAATTAATTGAAAACCAAACCGAATAAGTTATATTTATTCGATAACTGAACCGTTTAATCCGGAAACTAAATAACCCGAAATCGTATTGGTTCGAATGAGTTATTTGGTTTCAGAATTTTTTTTGACACTCTTAAATGTGCCCCTAATAATATAAGTTTATTGATCCGTCACTGAGTTCATGGGTTTAAACATCACCAAAGCTGAGGAGGGTGTGTAAGTTTATTTGTTGTATTTGCCGTATATAAATATTATATATAATTCAAAAAAAAGTGAGATTAGTTCAATAATAATTATGTGGCTATCATTTTTTGTGAGATACATGTTTATGTATTGTTTCACATTATTATTACATGTCATGTATTTTACATTTATAATGTTAGCATGCCTAAAAGATTTTTATACGTATAATTATGTTACGTATAAAACTTAGAATTTTTTAGATTAACCTGGATATCCAACCCACTATGAAAACATAGAATTTTATAGTATGTGTGTCAAAACAAATCAAGATGTTGGTACAATATAGATCTCTCAGTACATTTTATGTGTCTATGTATGGAAATATATTTTCTGTAGTGTTCCAGTAAATACATAGTTGTTTTACGAAGTTGTTTCCAACAACATGATTATGTATTTAGATGTTGATTTTCCAAGTTTACTGGTATGAAAAGTGAATCAGTATTTATGATGTTTATTATTTTACCTGATATGTTTTTAGATCACTTTAGCAGAAAAATTAGAAACTCATTGATCTTAATACCTGTCTAATATTGTGTATCTCGAGAAAAGACATCGTCGTTAGCAGTAAGGGAAAAGTTGAGGTCTAGTCAACTATTAGGCATAGTATTATTGATGCAATGTTCTACTTGATTCAATATGATGGGGACTAATATGAGACTTGACCAACGTTAAGTTTACTGACTATATTTTAATATTAGTTTTCATTGTATAAAAACTTCCACTGCATATGTTTGATATTTTCAGTTAATTAATGCTTAGAAATAAGTCATATTAGCACATTGTCACACATTTGAACGAGTTACCAAGTTGGTGGTGTGGAACTATAATCACCTAAGCTGGTTAAAAAGATATATACATAAGATTCATTAACCAAAATAACGTCATTTGGGAAAGAAACTACTTTTCGTCTTTCAAATAATTAAAAATAGTAATTCTTCCTAAATCGACCACGATTGGAGGTGTCACAAAAGTTCGATGATCGAAAGAGAGTGTGATATGCACCATCTCTCTATAATTTTAGCATGAATAACACATGTTTATAATTAGAAAAAAAAATCATAAATGAACAATAAAATAAAATGTAAAATCTGCAAAAAAGAGATATCATATCAGATCTGACAACAAGTATATAAGTTTTATAACTATGAAGAACAATTGGGTTCAACTCCAATCATAGATCATAAGCTACACATACAAAGCTTGATTTTGCCGAATGTTATGCAGGAGTCGTACACCAAATGTTTATTGGGCAAGTGCTTACTAGTAAGAGTTACCATTCGTACCTACCTTATTGAACAACATTGTGGACCACCAAAAATATATTGTTGATGAGTTGTGGTAAAATTGTTCTTCCTCATTTACCAAGTAAGATTTTCGATTTTTGTCATATCTTTTACCAGGTAAAGCTCTCAAATCTCGCCATGCTCATCTAGTAAGTGTTTAATAAACGACCCTGAATATTGCATGGTGCATCAATATATATGAAATTATAGCAACCGGAGAAGATTCTCCGGTGTTATTTCCTTTATGTTTTGTACGGAATAAATAAAATAAATGTGAGAGGAAAGACATATGATCCTCCATAGCATAACTTAAATCTATCGGCTCCCCTAAGACGGCAGTCCTGGCAGTGGTATTTAACTTTTTAACAAAATTTAATTTTGAGTAAATTTCCATTTTTGTCCCTAATTTTTGTCTACTTTAACGAATCTCGTCCCTATACTTCATTTAATCGGTTTTTATTCTTAATGTTTGTTAATATTCAACAGATTTTGTGTCTCCATCCAGTAACCGTTAGTTTTTTCGTTAATTCAGGATATATTGGTTATTTTTTATCTTTAAATAATCATATATGAACTCCGCCTAGACCTTTTCGATTCTTTCTCGAATCCCAGGTTGCACCATCTTCATGATATAAACTTATATGGCTAGCAAAAAAACATCTTAGCGGATTGGTACACAGGAACAAATTATGATCCCCAGTGTCGAAAAAAGCTAGAATGAAGACGCGCCTGTTACGCCCAAGGTAGAGGCTGACTCCGGTGGGGGTTGCTACGCCGAAGGGTAGGGACTCGGGAGCAACAGAGGAGAGAAAAACATCAAATTTAGGAAATGTCGCCTACCATTATCTGAGTGCTCAACAATCAGTTTCTCGAATCGCTTCTTGATGGCGATGGTAACCAAATTATCGAACTGTAACTCTATGCTTAAAACTGGCCTCCAAGAACAGTGGAGCAGTTAGTTTATATCAATTAAGGATATGAGTTCGTGCGAGTAGGCAACAAAAACCATCTATTATCCAAGTTAGTTTTTAAGAGTTAAAATTAAAAAATGTGATCATGTAGTGACGAATAATAAACTTAAATTTATAAAAATAAAATAAAAATATGGTGTAAATGCTTTATAATATAGTATAGATAGAAAAGAAGAGATTATGGTAGTTCATTTAACAAGTATCCTAAAGTTGAATAGAGGTTCAGATTAAATACCAATACAAAAGCAAACCGATCAATGTGCAGCTTCACATTACAACAGCTCCTTGTGGATGAAGGTTGTGTTTACAACCATTTGGAAGCACCAAGCACCGCCACGGAACACCTCAGGCAGTGCGCATTTCATGGCGGACATCGGCCATGCAACCACCATCAACAGTCAGACCATAAACCACATTTCCAGCCACAGCGGCTGGGCCCATGGTTATCGACTCACTCTGATACAATACAACATATAAAACTGACCACATCTATCTTCTGTATCTACGTTTTAGAACTTTCTGCAACAATAGAAACCAAACAAACCCAGGAAATATCAGGCAGAGGTAGGGTCTCAACTAAAACCGTAAATAAAATAATGCAGGTGGCAAAACTGTGATGATCTGGGTACCTGGGATCGTCACTAGGATTCTAGGCCAACTTCACTGTCATCATCTTCTAGCTTATCGGGAGAGTCGGTGTTTCCCGTCTCTGGAAAGAATTCATCATCAGGGTACAGCTTCTGAAAGAGCTGCCATATGCCAACATATACCAAACACCAGTCAAAAAACATATTAATTCAAGATTCTGAATAAAATAGTATGCTCCTTTGTCACTTTGAAGACACGAAAACACCATCTTTGTAAAATGCAATGGAATGATCATGTATAAAGACTTGCCTCTCGACATCCAAGGCCAAGGGGATTTTCGGGTGCAGTTGGTAAGAGGGGACATAACAGTACAAGAACTTGTTAAAACACGTTCGGCGCGACATTGAACTGGGACAGGACAAGTTCCGGTGGGGACATAACACTAGGTCTTCAAATGAACGATTTGAAGACCTAGTGATTCTAACATTGGATGTTAAAATGCTTATGCTTTGAAATACAGTTTTTCATTCTTTCCCCTCTGATATCTCACGGATGTCACCTTTCTAAGTCATTGCTAATTATGCAGAACACGAGATCTTTATCCAAAGAACAACAAGCAAGGCAGTAGGGAGGTCATTATATCCGAAAGAAACTAAAACAGGCAGAGAAAAAAAAATGGACCTTCCAACTGATGAGTGATAAAGGGCTAAACGATCTATGCCGTCTGTTGTCCTGAGAATATCTTTACAGGATTCTCCACCATCTTGATCATAATCAACCATGACGATGGCATAGAGAATGATCCTACAAAGAAAAAAACATGGAATTAATTATAGTTTTTTGTACAAACAAATATAAGCATCAAAGACATGTACAATACAAAATTACGATTTAATCTTCGGAGGCAATTTCTGTTGAATTAATCTATATTAAGATCCAATTAACACATCAAATTGAATACATAATCTTACTTGATAAACAGGTTTGGCGTACCTTGTGGAATAGAAGAATTCAGACTCTGGTTAGTGCTCTGTTCTTCATCCATGCTTTTCCAAGATACGCCTTTATGTCCTCACTGATTTGATGGCAGCAGGTAATTCAGAGGATCGCATATTGTGTTCTTGAGAGAGATAGATGAAATGGCGTATAACTGTTGTATTTATAACAGTGTTTGGCGGTTCTCACCATCAAAGAACCAAATTAACTGTCAACTATTCAACTGTCACACATGCATCATCAATTGGCGCCAAAACAGGGTACGCATGTGGACTGATTTATTTTCTGTATACGTATGCATATATTAATCATATGGTATCATATAAATCATGGATCATTATCTTCAATTGATCTTGTTCATTAGATGAGCATATATATATATATATATATATATATATATATGCTACAATCTCATCTTGTCCAAGAACGCAACGAATGGATTCTCCAAATCCTCATCTGAAATGATCTTCCCGTCACCAACACCAACACCAACAGATTTAACAGCTTCAAGATGCCCCTGTACCAGCTTAAAGAAACTATTCAACTGATTTTTCTCACTGTACTTGAGCGTTTTATCCTTAAAAACACCGCTCTTCGAATCTGGCACCTTCATTAAGTTACCATTTGTATCACCTACGTAGCTTGCATCAATATTCTTAAACTCAACATACTGATTTAAGCAATAAGTTCACAGCAAGGTCGGCACAGAACAAAACCCTGGGCCCTGCCAAGTCCAAATTGAACTTTCTAGAATGTTCCTCGATGGGCAGGGAATCAACTTGAAGACAGCAGAAATGCAAGACAACGCGCAGACATTCTCTTCGATGGCAAAAGAGGTGCTGCGAACTGCTGAAAATGATCGTCATATATGTAGAGTCAGAGATAAAAGATTTTTGGTTGAATTATATATTGGAGGTGAAGGTGTATAGAGATCACATTGTTTTCCTTTTTGTCGGTACCATTTGACATGTAATTTTTGGAGAAAACGATAACCACATTATGTATTCCGGTTAAAAGCCTCATTGTGTGTATGATCGATTGCATTGTTAATTGGTGACTCAATATCTTACGGTTTTTCGGATAGTCTACTAAATTTGGGTGTGGATACGAGCACACAGCTTATTCTCTTCGTGGCCTCGTAAAACATGCTTTTTGGGAGAACACTGTTCAAAGCTTTTCAAAAAGTCACTTTTGAGCGGATTTTCTTTTCTCTATTTTAAGAGATTGCGTCCTTTTTTGAAAACACATTTCTTGGACCACAAAAATCCGGTCATCTTTGCCAACTACAACTTTCACCGTTTTTTTATTCTTCAAGCTTACATTCCATTTATCTCTTTTGAGTGTTCTCTCAAAACGAATGGAGCGGGTAAGATAAATTCTCAAGAACATATCACCCCACTTTATCATTTCTATCTCCAAATCCACACATTCACCATAGTTGTGATTCTATGTAGCATATATAGATATATATGTATATGCTCATCTTAATGAATAAGATGAATTGAAGAATAACAATCCAATGATTTATATAAGACCATATGACTTATTTATGCATACGTATATATATGATAATATTGGTCAACATGTGTTACCTGTTTGGCGCCAAATGAAGAAACACGTGTGACAAAATTGATTAAGTGACAGTTAATGGGGTTCCTTGATGGATGGAACTGCCATTACTCTGTTATATATATATTCTTTTGTACGCCATTTTCATCCAACTCTCTCAAGAACACCAAGGTATCCTGAAATCTCCAATTCCATCAAATGGTTAGGGCATAAAAGGGTGTATCTTGATAAAGCATGGGTGATGAACAAGAAAGCGACCTAAATCAGAATTCCACAATCTTACCAGGTATGTCATCAAATTCGAACTCATATAGAAGTCTGTGTTTCTATCGATGTGTTAAATCTCGATTCTAGTTTGAAATAAGACTAACAATTGGTATCAGAGCCACTTAACTCATCGATTTGAACCAAGCAATTGTATTCCTAGTTATCGCTTACTAGAGACGACCAATTCGCATCATGAACGAAGTCTCTGTACGACTGGTCTGTCTCGATTGTTTTAAAAATCAAGAAATCCACGTCACCCAAGTGATTTTGGATTACAGTGATTCAAATACTATCACAAAGTCAAGAATCACAACATGAAAATTGCAAATTAATTATCGAAGTTTTTGATTCACATACTGTCACAACAGTTTGATCGAAAACATTCACCCTACTGTATGAAATTTCGAATTACGATATGCTTTCTTAAAAGGAAATCAGATTCGAAATTGATACATCAATTTTGATCAAGCAATTAATCATACAGTTGACTGATTACACATACATATAATTAACATAGTGTAATTTTTGCTTCTTGATCCAGGATCACCAAATAAAATAGATAGACAACAATTTCTATCTCACTCRGCCCATTACCCYATGARTGTAGTTAACTTTGCACYCCTAAATGGTRTTAACTACAAKAAATGGAAGGAGGACATTGAACTTATGTTAGGAATTTTAGATTATGATCATGTCCTTAGGGAAGACCCACCAACAGAACCAGCAAATAATGCAACTAAGGAGATAAAACTTATATATCAAGAGTGGCATAAACATAATAGGATAGCCTTAATCTACATAAAGAAATGTATCACTAATGCTGTTAAGGGAGGTATTCCAGAATCAGACCTTGCTAAAGTGTATCTTGCATCTATTGCTGATAAATACAAAGTTTCTGATAAGGCTGAGACAGGCTACCTAATGAATAAATTAATAAGAATGACTTTCAATGGACAAGGAAGTATAAGAGAATATATTATGCAAGGAATTGACACTGCTTGCAAACTCAAGGAGATGAAAATCTCAATAGATGATTCCTTCCTGGTTCATCTTCTGCTGAACTCCTTACCAGACCAGTATAGCCATTTAAGAAGCTTATACAACACACAAAAGGAGAAATGGACATTGGATGAACTGAYTACCATYTGTGTCCAAGAAGAGTCAGAAGTTAAGAACAAGGGTARGGCTGTGAGCATTAACCATATATCCAAAGCCAAAAACAAAATAAAGAAACACTTTAACTTCAACAAAGCAAGTCCCTCTACTTCCTCGATCCAAAATGTTAAAGATAAAGGAAGGTTCTTCAAAAGGAAAAAGGAACAAAAGTGTTTCTTTTGCAAGAAGGCAGGGCACTTTAAGAAGGATTTGTGACTAGATCGTCCTGGTTTGATACGGCTTCACCCATTCATATTATTAACTCAATGCAGGAATTATCAAAGATAACAATCCCAAGGGCGAATGAGTCAAAAGTATGTGCAGCAAATGGACAAGAACTGAAGGTAGAAGCTGTTGGAGAATGTAGATTACTATTTAAGAATGACTACGTTATAACATTGAACCATGTATATTATATACCTAGAACAAAAAAGAACCTAGTGTCAGGTTCTCGAATTGTAAATGATAACAATGTTTCGTTCTATGCTGATAAAGATTGTATGTTATTCTATTTGAATGATGTATGTTTTGGAAATGCATACTTGATAGATGGGTATTGGTACTTGAATTGTATTAATGAAACCATCAATAAAGGATACAAAAGAAATATATACTGCATAAACAAAATAATAGGAAGCATAAAGAAACATAAGCAAAATGTTTCCTCATTCTTGTGGCATAAGAGGTTGGGACACATATCAAAGTTTAGACTACAAGAACTGGTGAGACAAGGAATCCTACCAGATTTAAACTTTGATGATTTTGAAACCTGCATAGACTGTTTAAAAGGAAAAACGACAAACTCTAGGAATTTCCAGTCTAAGAGAAGCCAAAGTATTCTTGAGCTGATCCATACAGATATATGTGGACCTTTTCCAGTCAAAACAATATGTGATAATAAATATTTTATTACATTTATTGATGACTATTCAAGGTACTGCCATATATTTCTAATGGCAGAAAAATCGCAAGCATTGGACTGTTTTATTAGCTTCAAAACTGAAGTTGAAAGACAAAGTGAGAAAACTATTAAGACAGTCAGATCATATAGAGGAGGAGAATACTTTGGAAAATATTCGGAGAAAGGACAGCATAAGGGACCTTTTGCCACATACTTGGAACAAGTTGGAATTAAAGCCAAATACACAACTCCATACACTCCTACACAAAATGGAGTATCGGAGAGAAAGAATAGAACCTTGATGGACATGGTTAGGAGCATGTTTGCAAGATCAAATTTGCCAAAATTCCTCTGGGGAGAAGCCTTGAAAACGGCAAATTACATTAGTAATAGAACTCCAACTAAAGYTGTAAGAGGGACACCTTTTGAATTGTGGAATGGATACAAACCTAGTTTAAACCACCTTCATGTGTGGGGTTGTAAAGCAGAAACAAGGGAATACCATATTGAGAGTCTAAGCAAATTGGATTCAAGATCACTCTCTGCATTCTTTATTGGATATTCAGAAAAATCCAAAGGATACAAATTCTTTAATCCTGGAAGAGGACAAAGAATATTTGAAACTAACAAAGCAGTGTTCTATGATGAAATGTTTAATGAAGACACTTATTTAGGAAGTTGTTCTCAAGATCCACATGGATTAAATCATTGGTTGACTTACCATGAAGAGGAAATTCCATTAATCCCTGAGAGAGAATTTAATCTCTCAATCAATACCAATAGTAGAAAGCAATGTACTGGATGGCTCAACTGATGTGACTGAAAACCAATCCATGGAAACAATACATGAGACAACTCATAGTCATGATCATGCATCTGAAACTAATCTAGTGAGTGAACAACACTGGAA